GAGGTACAGGCTTCCTGGTGGTGACTTTTAATGATGGGGGTGAAGGATGAGTAGGATTTCCTCAGAGGAAGCAAACGGGGAAGGAGAAGAGAATGTTTCTGGAACAATGAACAGACTGTTAGAAGGAGCTGGAAGAAATGAAAAACAAGCAGGGTCAGATTATGAAGGGTCCTGAAGAACCATTCAAGGAGTTTCTATCTTCCTCTGTAGGGCTGGGGACACAGCTGCAATTCCTAGGAAGGGGAGTAACACAATTTAGTTTGGATGGGCTGCTTCCTCCTTATACTTTGCTGCAATCCAAAGCTTCAGAAATACTTGACCACTTAAGAGGCCCCCCTTTAAAATAGAGACATAGCTTTTTACTGTTTTTATTTACTTCCTGGTCCTGGGGTGTGTTTAGGAGATACCCTCCCTGCTCCGCATGTTTTCAGGTGAAGACTATTCTGAAGAGTAACCCTCCTGAAGTAAATAACCAACATTTTTCATTGGATACTGAAATATCAAGTATGCGCCTCTGCTTATTAGAATACCAGATAGACCTAAATTGGACATTCATGGGAAGCAGTTCTCAGCTATTACATTTAGTATTTTTTCTCCTTCCAACAGACTATAATTGAGTAAAACAGCATGCAGTTGCTGAAAATTTCTGTGGTAGGCCACTGAAGACTTCCTGTCATAGAGCAAACGAAACCATGGAAGTATTTAAGATATAATAATATCTTCACGAAATACGAATTGTCCACAAGTACCTTGGGAAGTGATATGCCCGCCATCATTTGAAGGCTTCAAGTCTAGGCTAGTCTGCAACTTGGTAGGATGGTGGGGGGGCAGTGGAGGGTGATGTGTGAGGGTTAGAGAACCCAGAATCAGTCCAGGCGCTGTCATTTACTAGCTATGTGACTGAGCAGGCAACCTAACCTCTCCAAACCTGCAGCACCCTCATCTGTATAGCAGGGATAATAACATGATGCACCTCATGGTGTTGTTATGAAAAATAAGTAAGATGTTCACTTAGCACTGTGTTTGGCACACAGTAAACATTCAATACAAACCAGTATTAAAAATAATCATCATAATATCATTATGAGGAGACATTCAAACTGAGGATGGGAAGGTGTCCTAGATGATCTCTAAGGCCGCTTCTTATACCAGGAGTCTAAGAGTTTTAACAGTTTATATCATTCATTGATGTCTCATTAGAATTAAGGCTATTTTCTGCCTGAAAAGTCATCGATGTGTGTATGTGTGTGCGTGTGTGTGTGCGTGTATTTACCTGAAGTATTAGCAAACAGTCCAATAAACAATGTATCACGTAATAAAAGATGTCTGTAACAGCCTGTATATAGTGCACATGCATCAAAGGTTTGTGGTTAATTCTGAACTAATTCTGAACATTGACTCACAGGTCCTTTTCCTCATGAAAATGTCAACAGACAAAGAAGCTCTGGAAACAAGTTTCCCCTTGGTACAATCACCAACAAAGCAAAGTGGTAGAGAATCAGTTTACCTACGTACCCTATCTTTTCTCCAGTTAATAATTAAAAAGTAAAGTGAATTCAAATATTTCAAATGTTCCCACTTAAAACAATTCTGTTTTGCAGGTACAGTGCTAGCTGACTAAGTTAAATTTTTCCAAGGTAGACTTAAACTATTTCTTAGGGCTTTTAATACTCTTCTAGAGGTGCAATCAACCATTTCAGACCATCACAGAATTACACTACGGCTTCAACTAAAATATCTAACCAACAAGTATTGTACCAGTTTTCTATCTCGTGTGCTAGGATCACAAAGGTCTGGCTGGTACAGCCGGAAGCGGTAAGACCCAGTTCCCAAAGCAATCCTAAAATTTGTATGGACCACAAAAGACCCCAAATAGCCAAAGTAATACTGAAGAAGAAGACCAAAGTGGGAGGCATCACAATCCCAGACTTTAGCCTCTACTACAAAGCTGTCATCATCAAGACAGTATGGTATTGGCACAAAAACAGACACATAGACCAATGGAAGAAAACAGAAACTCCAGAATTGGACCCACAAACGTATGGCCAACTAATCTTTGACAAAGCAGGAAAGAATATCCAATGGAAAAAAGACAGTCTCTTTAACAAATGGTGCTGGGAGAACTGGACAGCAACATGCAGAAGGATGAAACTAGACCACTTTCTTACACCATTCACAAAAATAAACTCGAAATGGATAAAGGACCTGAATGTGAGACAGGAAACCATCAAAACCTAGAGAAGAAAGCAGGAAAACACCTCTTAGACCTCAGCCACAGCAAGTTCTTACTTGACACATCCCCAAAGGCAAGGGAATTAAAAGCAAAAATGAACTACTGAGACCTTATGAAGATAAAAAGCTTCTACACAGCAAAGGAAACAATCAACAAAACTAAAAGGCAACCAATGGAATGGGAAAAGATGTTTGCAAATGACATATCAGATAAAGGGCTAGTATCCAAAATCTGTAAAGAACTCACCAAACTCCACACCCAAAAAACAAATAATCCAGTGAAGAAATGGGCAGAAGACATGAATAGACACTTCTGTAAAGAAGACATCCGGATGGCCAACAGGTACATGAAAAGATGCTTAACGTTGCTCCTCATCAGGGAAATACAAATCAAAACCACACTGAGACATCACCTCACACAGGTCAGAGTGGCTAACATGAACTATAGATGCTGGCGAGGATGTGGAGAAACGGGAACCCTCTTGCACTGTTGGTGGGAATGCAAACTGGTGCAGCCGCTCTGGAAAACAGTGTGGAGGTTCCTCAAAAAATTAAAAATAGATCTACCCTATGACCCCGCAAGAGCACTGCTAGGAATTTACCCAAGGGATAAATGGAGTGCTGATGCATAGGGGCACTTGTACCCCAAAGCAGCCCTTTCAACAATAGCCAAATTATGGAAAGAGCCTAAATATCCATCCACTGATGAATATATAAAGAAATTGTGGTTTATATACACAACGGAATACTACGTGGCAATGAGAAAGAATGAAATATGGCCTTTTGTAGCAACGTGGATGGAACTGGAGAGTGTTATGCTAAGTGAAATAAGTCCTACAGAGAAAGACAGATACCGTGTTTTCACTCTTACGTGGATCCTGAGAAACTTGACAGAAGACATGGGGGAGGGAAAGGGGGAAAAGAAAAAGTTAAAGAGGGAGGGAGGCAAACCATAAGAGACTCTTAAAAACTGAGAATAAACTGAGGGTTGATGGGGGGTGAGAGGGAGAGGAGGGTGGGTGATGGGCATTGAGGAGGGCACCTTTTGGGATGAGCACTGGGTGTTGTATGGAAACCAATTTGACAATAAATTTCATATTAAAAAAAAAAAAAGACCCAGTTCCCAGACTTCAGGGGTCTCCAACAAGTCAAATGTCAATAATTTTAAGACTTTGTGAAAATACAGTGTTCAAGTATTTTCAAAGAACTCTGAATATATTATCCCACTTGCTCTTTGTCACAAAAGACAGGTAAGGCTTATATTTTTATCTTCATTTGAAAAATGAGGGAAAACATTGAGTTCAGAGATGCTAAGCCCCAAGCTCCCCCCAAGGCTCATAAATGACAGAGCCAGAACTAAACCCAAGTTTTATTCTCAGAAACTAGGACTCTATTGCTGAATACTACTTCTAAAAGGGCCTATACATGCTCACAGAACAACTCTGTAGTTAGAGAACAGCATTCAATAAATATTAATTGATGACCTAAGTTGACTGTAGTTCAGGACAATATTTTCATGATTAGCTTTAACTTTTAACCAAATTTGAATGAACACTTTTAACATAGCTGAAAAGATACCAAATAAAGAGAGATATTTTATGCCACCCTATATACAATGCCTAAGTCTACAAATACTATGATGGTCATTATCCACTGGAACTAGAGTAGATAAATATATCCTTCACTGACTGTGGTACTGTGCACCATTCTTTAGTTTCCTGTTTTGTGAGAAAATGAGCATGACCTGAATAAAAGCTCAGAAAAGATGTTAGGTCCCTTATCACTGTCACTCTGAACAAAATAGATTAAAGTAGGTAACTCCATAAATCATCACATACACACATACACGGACACCTTTTGCACAGTACTTCAAGAAAACAAAATAGCCTTCTTTTGTCATTTTTCACCAGTGAAAGCCTTCATCAGACATTTTGCCAAGAAAAGTATGCCTTGTAGTACCTGATGTAAATTGTATGAAGTTTCCCAGAGGTCAAAATGCACTTTATAATATCGAGAAACTGAAAATAGCCCTCAGCAATGTGTCTATCACATAGCAGGTACTCAAATATAGGTAAATAATAAATACACACCCATCTCCCAAATAAAAGATTATAGAAATATCTTCTACCATGATCTGACTCTCTTAAAACCAAATTCAGGAAAAAAAATATATGGGAAATACTGGGTATTTATAAATTGGTCAGTCATGTGCTTAACAATTAAGACAAACCTCTCCTACTACTTATACATACTAAAATGGCATTCACAAGTCAAAAGAAAAACACTTTTTCATACTTTGAGGTTCTCCCTATTATCTTCTTGCCATTACTGATTAAGTATCATTTATTTGTAGAGACCTAGAACATCACATTTATCAGTATTTTTTTTTCACCACTTATATTCACAACAAGGTTCATTTCCCAAGTTGGGTCTAAGTTAAGACTATAACTGGTGTGAAATTCCTATCAAATGCATCAACACTCTTGGGATCTCCATATTTTGCCAATTTCAGACTTCCTGGCCTGACCTGCCTAAGCTAAGTCTATCACTTTACCCTAATTATATGAAATCCAAAAATCAGCCCAAAGCCTCCTGAATGTAGCTTTTGCTTAAAAATGAAGCTGATAACCATAGACTATATAGGGCCTCAGCATTCATTGGCTGCAATTCATTTTTTTACACTGGGTGTATTCGAGACATGACATTGTGGTCACTGAATGCCTTCTCTGCTATCATAACGAGTTCCTGTGGGGATTCCACAGACTCACTTTTGGCACGTGAGGGTTGAATTCCACAGCTCTGTGAATGGCCTCTACTGCGTTCATCTCTGCTGTGCTCAGCCCCCGCCGAGATGCAGCCTCGGGAGAGAATCTGAAAAGCAGGAAGACAAACACCATCCAGTTGGGACCACTGCTTGGGCATCAACCCGGAAAGGCATCTACGCGTCAAGGGCCCATAAAACCACAGTGAGCCAATGGCATGAGCTCTCCAAACCTCCACTATATGGAACCTCTGAGTGACCCCTCAGACCGAGGCCAACAAAAACCCCAGCAGAAGCAGAAAGCGTGCTTGCGTCTAATCTCGGCAGGAATGAAATTCGGCTGTCAAGTCTCTCTGTCTAAATAGCTAATCTAAATCTTCTATGAGGTACCTGCTCAGGTCAGGGGAGGGGGTAGGACTGACGAGGGCAGACAGTGTGGGAAAAAGAGAAAACCAGGTTACAGAAGAGCGCACTTGGTTAAAAACAGAACTAGGGAGAATTTTAAAGGAGGCTCCCAACCCAATGTCAGTGCTGCGATGCAGCCTCCTCCGCAGGCAAGCCTGCTTGGGGCCGTTCCGGCAGGGGGTGTGCGTGCCCGAACTGCGGGCCAGACACCTGCCCGAGTGAATGAAAAAAACCAGACCATGCAATCTCTTTCTCACCTCACACCCAGGGCTAACTCCAGAGCTGTGCTTGGCAGGCAGACACCACAGGGGAAGCTGTGACAACCCTGGCCCTGCCCTCCCAAGCTGGAGTCGCTGTGTAGGGAGAAAAGATGTTGCAGTAGGTACTGGCGATCTACAGGATAAAAAAGAATGAAAGAAAATTACTTCGGTCTTGAAGTGCACACACACTTAACAGCAAACCTGTCTGACATAGCAGAGGCTGTTTTCTTTTTCTGTTATCTGCTTTTCAGCTCTTCGGAGGGATTGTATCGGGGAAATGGAAGCGTTTATTATGAACTCAAACAGTTAAGCCAACTGTTCTCTTTCACCTGCCAGTCATCTTGGACATTTATGAAAATTCTCTATGTCATAGTCACCTGCCTGAATAAAACGGGCGAATGTCCCACCGAGATGGCAACTCAAAGCAAATGGACCCTGGGTGGGGAGTTAGTTTGGATCTGATGAGTCAAAGAATGGGAGATGATCATCCCCTCTGCCATCTTACATGTTTGTTATGACTACTACCCAGTCTTGGACTGCTGACGGAAGAGGAACACGCAAAAAAATGAGTAAAAGGAAGGCATTTTGTGTGTAAGTCCCAAGCAGGCCTTTTGGTATCTACTGTCTGGCAAAAAAAAAAAAAAAAAAAGTCACCTCAGAGGTATGGAATTTCACATAAATCCCTCTTTAGGGACCCATACACCCTTGAAGTACCTGGGGTTATGTACTCTCTCCTTCTAGTAGTGAAAGAAAAGATCAGCAGATTTTAGAAAATGCATGCTCATAAGCGGGGGGGTTTCATAGACTAAGAGAAACTTCCAGAGAAAGCCCTCAGAGGCAACACATCTCCTTAAGTCAGGTCAGGCATTTAGTACCACACAAGTTATTATTCACTTACTTGTCAGAGACAGCTCTTGCTTTGAGCAAGGCAGCTGTATAGCATATTGTTGCCGACTTTGGTAAGCTTATATCTGTTAGAGAAAAAGAAAGCAGAAATTCTTATAAGTTTTCAGGAATAAAGAGCAATGATTTTTAATCCACAAGCATTTTAATCATGTAAGTCTAATAAAGTGTAAATTAAGAATATTTTAATGCATACAGTACACAGCTATTTCTTATGTATAAAGGTGGTATGTAAAACTATGGGTAATTCATATTTTTGTGAATAATATATGTTTAAAATCCACCAGACTGACTCTTCAGCAATCTTTTCTTTAAGATATGGATTCTCATATATTGAATTTAATTAAGCAGAGAATAGCTATAAATATATGCATTTAAATATTATAGGAATGCCCTGGATATCATAAAAGGCAAATAGGACCTCTGTGTCACTTGTAAAAAAAATTCTCAACAGGTGTATGAAATACCAATGTGAAGAAAAAATATCACCTGGATCTTTTTTTAAAAACACACCTAAATAGGGGCGCCTGGGTGGCTCAGTTGGTTAAGCATCTGATTCTTGATTTCGGCACAGGTCGTGATCTCACGGTTGTGAGATTGAGCCCTGTGTCAGGCTCTGCACCGACAGCATGGAGCTGGCTTGGGATTCTCTCTCTCTCCCTCTCCCACTGCTTCTCTTTCCTTTCTTTCTTTCTCTCTCTCTCTCTCTCTCTCCCCCCCCAAAAATAAATAAATAAACTTAAAAAAAAACACCTAAATAAATTATTTTTTAGTGGTCAGATTTAAACCAGATTTCTTTTGCATTAAATTTCAAGAAGTTCATATTCAGTTTTTTGTTAAATAAGCAATACATTTATTATAACATATACGAAAAATCTTTATATATAAGGATATATATGTGAAATATTTAGAAATCTATATAATTTTTGTTCATTCAAACCCAAAGGAAATCCCCTTTCATATGAAGCCTCATTTGTTTCTCCAAGAAACAGTTCCTCTCAGTTTGTATAGAAAATTTACATGGAGAAGAGGGAGCAGGTAACAGATTCAGATGATGAGTTTAAAGGGAAACAAAAGTAAAAGATACAGCTGAGAATAGATAAACTCAAAAACGTAGTCCCTTTTGGGGAAAAATTTGTGTTTAAATTATGACTCTATTTCTTACCAGAATAGTATTTCTTTAACACTGAACCACATTTATACTATGACATAGAAATATCATCTTAATTCAGGCCAGGTAAAAATACACCATTCCCAGTGCTGCAAAATTCACTCTATGTTAGAGAAACTCTTATCACCTGGAATGCTCTGCCAGCTTCTTCACAGGGCTGTTTTCAACTTCAAAAGAATTACATTACAGTGGATAAAATCCAAAAGGGGCAAAGGGAAGAGAGAAAGAGAGAGAGAGAGAAAGAGAGAGGAACCAAGAAACAGACTCTTTAAGTATAAAGAACCAACTGATTGTTACCAGAGGGGAGGCGGGTGGGGGGGATGGGTTAAATAGGTGATGGGGATTAAGGAGTGCACTTGTGCTGAGCACTGGGTGATGTACAGAGTATTGAATCACTATATTATACACCTGAAGTCAATATAACACTGTATATAACACTGTATGCTAACTGAAATTTAAATAAAAACTTAAAAAAAAGAATTACATTATAGTAAAAATGAAAAGCAAGTCCCATGACCAGCCCCATAACAGACAGCCACAGAAGAAAATAAGTTCATAAAAGAATAACAATCCTTAATCCAGTAGTAAGTATTTACCACCAATCTCAGCATGAGGAATTTCTCTGAGGGAAATTTCAATGCCATTGATAAAAAAAATAAATAATCATAGAAAATTCCAACAAAGAACTGAAAGGAAAAGGAGTCTTTGTAATCCTGATCTCATAAATTATGTTCAAACAAAATTTCACCACTATATGCATAGTGTAAAATGATGCGCTTATGACTAAGAAGGAGAAAAAAGAAGAATGCCAAACACTTATGGATCTGTCTTGTTGCTTTTCCAACGTCTAAACATTTAACTGCTTCCTAGTGTAGGAAATCAATCCCAGAATCAAATATCTTGTTTATTAGGGTCCATTCATTGACCCTAATTGGAAGGTAATAAAACTGTAGATAATACACATTCTACTTAAAAGTTCAGACCTTTTTTTTTTTTTTAAGTTCAGACTTTTTATATAAAAAGTATCCAAATCTTGTTTCCATCCTTCCTGGCATGATCTGTGTTCCTTCTGTGTTGAGCATCTTCCCATGAAGAAGAGACTAATGAAAAGTCCAAGAAACGAGTTGAGGCTGAAAACAATGGTCATAATTATCTGGAGGTGGCAGCATAACAGGGAGCCTCACTTGATAAACTAGAGAAAACCTGTTGTTAAGGATTTAGCTTCACAATGAGAAGGATCAGATTGTTTTGATGGTTACCTAAACAAGCAAAGTGACATATTCACCCACTTAGAAAAACATGCAACTCAGGTATACCAGCAAAATACAGGTGCCCAATCAATGATGATCTTTAATCCAGAACCAGGCCTCTTCATGCTCACGAACAGGGCATTCACAACTAGAAAAATGTGACAAAATTCTGCAACATTACAACTACTGTAGTGCATTTTTCCCATAAATTTTTTTACCCATACTCCTTCACTGTATGTAAAGCTGGTGGTATATGTGCACAGTCATAATGCTTAAAAAGTAAATAACCAAAAATATGTTTTAATCAGTATCAAATGGGAAGAGGGGGAAATGTAAATACTCCATTCCTCACTAGTGGCATGTGATTCCATTTGTTTTCTTCTTATTTGAATAAATTACTCTCATTGCTTAACAAAAATAAAAGAATAGCAAAAAATTCTTGCATAACCTGTTTATTTAGATAGTTTCAATGTTTTTCTTCTAAGTCAGCCAAAGCAATTAACCTATTTGGTAATGGCAGTTGTCTCTAAGAAGTGAGACCTCATTCTAAAGAAACTGATCCTAAGTTTCCCTGTAGGTAAAGCAATCTTATTCAATTAAGGTTTTCTTTACAACATATTTCTTTAATATGAAATTTATTGTCAAATTGGTTTCCATACAACACCCAGTGCTCATCCCAACAGGTGCCCTCCTCAATATCCCTCACCCACCCTCCCCTCCCTCCCACCCCCCATCAACCCTCAGTTTGTTCTCAGTTTTTTGGATCTCTTAAGGTTTGCCTCCCTCCCTCTCTTTTTTTTTTTCCCTTCCCCTCCCCCATGTCTTCTGTCAAGTTTCTCAGGATCCACATAAGAGTGAAAACATACGGTATCTGTCTTTCTCTGTAGGACTTATTTCACTTAGCATAATACTCTCCAGTTCCATCCACGTTGCTACAAAAGGCCATATTTCATTCTTTCTCATTGCCACGTAGTATCCCGTTGTGTATATAAACCACAATTTCTTTATCTATTCATCAGTGGATGGACATTTAGGCTCTTTCCATAATTTGGCTATTGTTGAAAGTGCTGTTATAAACATTGGGGTACAAGTGCCCCTATGCATCAGCACTCCATTTATCCCTTGGGTAAATTCCTAGCAGTGCTCTTGCAGGGTCATAGGGTAGATCTATTTTTAATTTTTTGAGGAACCTCCACACTGTTTTCCAGAGCGGCTGCACCAGTGTGCATTCCCACCAACAGTGCAAGAGGGTTCCCGTTTCTCCACATCCTCACCAGCATCTATAGTCTCCTGATTTGTTCATTTTAGCCACTCTGACCTGCGTGAGGTGGTATCTAAGTGTGGTTTTGATTTGTGTTTCCTTGATGAGGAGTGACGTTGAGCATCTTTTCATGTGCCTGTTGGCCATCTGGATGTCTTCTTTAGAGAAGTGTCTATTCATACAACATATTTTTTAAAATGATGCTTATCTTTCACAATAAAAAGCAAAAGCTTTGACATTTTGCCTACCCCAGCAATTCCACTTCTGAGACTCTTTCCTAAGAGAAAAAGTCATGTGCATTAAAAATGAGCCTTAAGGATGCTGATGACAATACTGTTTCTAATGGTGGAAAACTGGAAACAGCCTAAATGGCCAATAACAGAAGATTAGTTAAGGTGCTGTACATTCGCAGGGTGCAATTCTATGTGGTCATTAAATCATGTGTTGGAAAAGTAATGATCTGGGAAAATGGTGCATTGTTATAAGTACATCAATAAGTAAAATAAGTTTATAAAATTATGATTTCATATGTTTTTAAAAAGCATTTATATGCACAGGGATAATAAAACTGGAATTATACATACAAAATATCAACAGTATTTATTTTTGAGTGGTGGGATTATAGGGAATTTTTTTTTATCTGTATTTCCAAAGCTTCCTGTGAGTACATGTAAATAAGTGAATTTTTAAAAGATAACAATAATGCTATAAAAAGAATTCTGTTCTACAAATTGTTGGAAGCAAGTTCATAAGCAAATACATTGGTGGAACCAGACAGAGACAGCATAGACAGACAAAGGTAGAACTTACATGAAGTGAAGTCAGACCAGAGATCTACTGCATATACTTATATACTTCATGAAAGTTAGCGTGATCCTTTTGCAGTGTGCACTGATTAACCATATTTTAATCTAATCACTGCCTAACATCCAAATCAGAGACCAGAACTGCATGTCTTGGCTCACTTTTATTTTATTTTATTTTATTTTATTTTATTTTATTTTATTTTATTTTATTTTATTTT